GAGCCCTGCAACAGAGTCTCTTAGGCAGTGTATCAGAGACGGACGCTCAGGTGAGTGGCTTTCCAACTCGCCTGAATGGTCTGTTGTTTGTCCAAAACTTGAATCTTTTACTCTCTATTTACTTCCCTTAGCCTTGTAATGATTTTTCATGCTCATTTCGACTTGGATTTTGTATTTAAAATGCTGGTTATGAGTAGATAATCTTTTGTTGGAGTTAAATCTCACTTTATGTGAAAATACTTTAAATTTGCATTGGGATGATATCTGTGCCTAGTTATAGTGTTTGAATTATGCTTATATGTAGTCTGATCAACTGGACACTTGTGCATGCATAATGGAGGAGACCTAGAAGGGTAAACTCAGTTTAGAATGATTAAAATTGGATAGAGACTTAGAGGTAACAGTCGGTTTCAACTCGAATCGGAAGATACCTAGTTGGTACGAGGCGATCAATAAGACTCTTGCTTTTAGTAGCCTAATAGAACTTAAACACTTTACCCAGATGGGAGATTGTTAGTCATTGGAGGTACTCTCTTAAGAACATTGGTATAGACTTAGCAACTGGCCGAACATATTTCGTACCACATGGATGCATAATTGCTGTAGAATTAACATAGAAAAGAGGAGGATCCGTAGGCTATTCTACCTTGTCTATTTCCATGTCTTCTTTTCTAAACTACTACATTTCATGTTCTGTCTGCTTGAATTTACTTTGTGACTATTCACTCACTCTGTGTTGTAGTTCTGTGAGAAAGACCATCACTCGCGTGAGTGCTGACAACATTTGCATGAGTGACCATTTCAACCCACTTTCCTGTTTGCTTGTGGTTCGGTTTTCCTGTGTTCTAGCGATTCTTTGACAGTCATGACCGTCCATGTAGATTCAACCTGACTTACTAATTATCTACTAGTTTTTGAGTTGGTTTGCTTTTGGGCGATTTGACAACATTCCCGCAACTAGAATCCAATAACCCTTGTCGTGGCTTTTAGTAATCCATGCTTGTAATACTTGCGAATAGTTGTATTTCTCAATTACATCAACACTTGAAATTTTATCCACCATCAGACCATGTAGAGATCCTCTTTGCTTACTTAGAGATCTTGAAAATTCTACTCAATGATCATCAATGTGCATGAAACCATATTATGCTTCCCTCCTCTATCTTTTATTTCTTAGCAAAGATTTTGTCTAGATTTTTGTTTCTTAGCCATGTGATTTTGTTTTAATCTTTTGCTTCTTAGCCTAGGTATTTTGATTTTGATCCATGGTGTGAAAATATCTAGAGATCCCATACTAATAAGTTAGACTTTTTGTGTTTTTTTTAAAGGAAAATATAAAATGAGAGAGGACTGCCTTAAATGAATCATTAGAGAGGAGTTGAGGTCTTGGGTCGATGGTATGAACATGTGTAGCATTTGGTTGTCCTTACAAAAATAGAGTAAGGACTTCAAATTACTTATCTTAGAACCAACTGCACCACTTTTAAGAAAATCATAAAAAACAAAATTGAAGTCGTCGATCAAATGACTAAGAAAAATCATGCTTATCAAAGAATCAAAGATACCAAGATGGTCATAAACAAATAATTTAACTCTTCGATCGACTTATTATTTACAAGAAAAAAAATTGAAACACTTGAATTGCCTCCCAATAAGCGCCTATTTCTTCTTGTCTTTGGCTAGACAGACCATGTGTGTATTAAGATAGAAACTTGCAAGTTCCACACATCATTAGAACTTGAAAAAATCCCCTACAAAAATATTAACAAAGTCGAAGTAGAAAATTACAAATTTATATGCACACTTTGAATCAACATAAGATAGTGGAAAGTGATCTCATCTAAATGTTTCCTCAAAAGCACTACAGACACTCCATACATATGCAATGGCGTGACACATTAAACTCACTCCACTATCATCTAGAAAATCTAAAATTACTTTTATAATTATCTGCAATTTAAGGGGTCTAGACTGATGCCATATGCATACTCTAGATGTATAAGCATCGGTGTTAGCTCAAGTTTTGGATATTACTTTTTCTCTGGCACAAATTCAAAGCACGACTACTGTCAAAATAAAATTGTGGAACGCTTGAACATTAAATTCAAATTCTTTTTTGATTGTTAAATATATAGTTCTATTTATCATTTCTATTCTACCAATTTTTCGAAATGACTTACTTAGGAAACATGGATTTAGGGTCAAGGTAAATTTCCTTTTACACTAATCACATCAAAATAATGCCACTACATTGGATTGACAAGTTATTTTTAACATTAACAAAATATGCATAAGATCTATAACATGTTTCAATTTTAACATTTCCATAAGTGCATGAGAGAGCAAGTGTACCTGAATCGTGTCATTTGAAAAAAGAAGTCCAGTTGCACTACATCAGATAAAATTTTTTGAAATCACATTGAACCTTGGAGTATAAATTCATTATTTTTTTGTGCACGTCTACTCGCCGCATTCATCATCATGAGAAAACTCGTCAAGTTCCTGCTAAAGAGGAATATGAACTTCTCTTTTGGAAGATGTATTGACAACATATCGTTTATGTTCTTCTTCTTTTGAATTCTTCCAACTTGCTAGAAAAAAGGAGTAACAAATAGGGTGTTAATTTTCGCAATTCAGAAATTACTCACTTACAGTTCGTTTTGGACAATTTTGTCCTGAGCTCTTTTTTTTTCTCCAACAAACACTAATTAAATTAATTAAAAATAAATTTAACTAAATTAATTGAACAATAACACAAAATATAAAACTAAAATAATTATACAAAAAAATATTGATAACAAAAAAATAATAAATAACACAAAAAATTAGGAAAAAGAAAAAAGAAAACGGCCGGCCACCTTTTGAAGGTTGGCCGGTTTACTCACCGGCCAACCGGGAAGAAGTGGCCGACCCATCGAGTGGCCACTCGGCCACTTCTTCCCGGTTGGACGGTGAATAAACCGCCCAACCTTTAAAAGGTAGCCGGCCCGACAACCGGCCACCCTGGGCAAAAAAAAAATTGTTATTATTTTTTTTATATTTACTTTAAGTTTTAGTTTTTGTGTTATATTTACTGATTTAATAATATTTTTAACGTAATTGAATTTATTAGGTATAATTAATTTATTTTAATAAATAGTGAAGATTAAATAGAGGAATTAGGTATAATAAGTTTTTTATTATTATTATAATTTATTTGTTATATTCAAATAAAGAATGCAGTAGATATTATATTAAAATTATATGATAAATACATTTTGAGTAGGTTTTTGTAATTAGTATGTGGTATTTAGTTAGTATTAATTTGTAGACTTTAATAATTATTGTTTACGTAAATAAATTAGTTATTTTTGTTATATTTTGAGTAAATTAATTATAACTAAATAACACAACATACACTAATTAAATTAATTATAAATAAATTTAATTAAATTAATTAAACAATAACACAAAATATAAAATTAAAGTAATTATACAAAAAATAATGATAAAAATTAATATAAAAATAATACAAAAAATTGAAAAAAAAAGGTATTGTCTAGGGTGGCCGGCCGAAGGTTGGCCGGTTTACTCAACGGCCAACCGGGAAGAAGTGGCCAACCCAACAAGTGGCCACTTCTTCGCGGTTGGCCAGTGAATAAACTGGCCAACCTTTAAAGGGTGGCCGGGCCTGACGGCCTGCCACCCTGGGCAAAAATATTTTTTTTTTCAATTTTTTTTTACTTTTTTTTTTGTAATTGTCATTATTTTTTACATTTACTTTACTTTTATTTTTTTTTGTTATATTTACTAATTTAATAATATTTTTAATTTAATTGAATTTATTAGGTATAATTAATTTAATTTAATAATTAGTATAGATTAAATACAGAAATTAGGTATAATAAGTTTTTTTTATAATTATAATTTATTTTTTATATTCAAATAAAGAATGCACTAGATATTATATTAAAATTATATGATAAATATATTTTAAGTAGGTTTTATAATTAGGTAAAGGTTCAAGGGCAAAATTGTCCAAAACGAACTGTAAGTGAGTAATTTGTGAACTGCGAAAAGTAATTCAGACAAATATATCAATAAGACAAGATAAAAGGGAATTACCAATTACCCTATCTACAACTTCTGTAGACTCTTCGTCATCTTCCATTACTCCTTCGTCCTTTGAATGCCATGTCTCAAATGATGCTCTTAATTCACCACTTAGGCCATCGTGGAAAGATATTCACATGGATTGATGTCTATTTGAGATGGACAAGTGTTATCTTCTAACTTGTTTACTGTTTTAACTGCCTCGTAAGTTTTCCATGCTGGCACGTTTTTCTTTTTGAAAATCGTGTATGTTAGTGGACAAAATCATAACAAGATTTTATATCGACATACCTGAGTCTTTTGACAGTTTCGGAGGTTGACATGTATACTACGGCGATGCTAAAAAATATGCATGGTTGAAGTCAGGATATTATTAATAAATTTACAAAATTCTGGATATTATTTTAAAATTTACAATTTTTTACTCACATAGAATACAAAATATGTGAATAAACTCTTATAAAATTTGTCTTTTGACTTGTTTAAGCATGAGTTTTTGAAAAAAAAAAAGGACAATTTCAAACTTCAAAGTTCACGTGAAAAGCGAAAAAATTACTTATTTTATGAAAATAACTTTAATATAAAATCTCCTTTTGGAAATTTAAGTTTTAAATTTCTTCTATATCATACTAATATTTAAATATCATCATTTATATTGCTTTGAAAATAGATTTTAATCTATGCGTTGAAAAATGAATTATTTATAAAGAATATTTCAAGTGCTAAAATTATATTTATATAGTTGAATTATTATATTCATATTACAATTCATTCGAAAGTAACTTTTTTATGAATTATTCACCCCCGATTTCCCCTCATCCAAATTTTTCTATTAATTTTCTTCTAATTGATGGACATTTTATCAAAAGTTTTCCTAGGAACGATCAAATTACACTGGGCAAAAGTTGAATAGAATACATCTACATGTAATAAACTAGTTACTTGTAATTTTGTGTGTAAAAGAAGAAAAAAAAAAAAACACTGTACACCATGGGCTGCTACTCCACAGCCCGCACTCTTTTATTCTTCGGCCTTTTTCTTTTGTTCTCCTAGGCAGTATACATCATTCGTTGTATGTGAGTTCAATTACCTCCAGATTTTGTTCTGCTCCATCGATAATCTTTGCAGAATCAACCTTCTTCTCTTAAATTGGTGTGCGTTTCTCTCTAATCTGTAAGTTCATGCCATTCTTTCGTTTGGTACTTTGTTTTTTTTTTTTTTTAATTTAGTTTTTGTTAATTTTCGGTCCTGTTTCGACTGGTTCCAACGGTCGATTTTGTCTGGTAATTCTAATAATTGAAGTTTATCGTTGGTGTTTTTCTTTTCCCCCGAGGATGGACATTAATTTGTTTCTGCTTTCGGTTTTTTTTTTTTTTTTTTTCTGAGTGTTCTTCTCTCAATTTGGGAACGGGTTGATATTGGTTTAGGAGATTTCTGCTTAAGAGGGTAGGGTTTCTCTGCATTTAGGCGATAGCTTGGTACTAGGGTTTTAGAGATTAGGAGGTTCTATGGATCTTGTGCTGGTTGAATGATGATGAGAATCTAGTCTCTTTTATAGGATTTAATGGAGGAGTTTTACAAGTTGATTTCCCCATTGTTTTCACTCCTATTGTAATTTAGTGGATGGATTGCTAGTTATATTTCAGTGCTTTCAACTGGTATTATCTTTCCCCCTTTAATTTTTTGGTTTTTGCATCTTCCTGCTCTAAGGGTGTCATTGTTTTTAGTATATGATGATTTGAAGCATGGAGAATTTCCATCTCATTCGCACTAACTGGGTAGAATTTCTTTGGGAATATGCTTATTTCTGTATATTTTAACAATATCCTGTATTCTGCTTTTGTTTTGCTCAGCAGGCATATATTTCTAGCAACAAAGGATGAGTGCAAGGAGGAAGACTCCGTTGCAGAAACACAGAGAAGAAGAAGAGGCCAAAAAGAAGGTGGGGTTTTTTTTCCCTTTCTTTCGTTGTGTTTGTGGGTGCTACTTGAGTGGGGTTGGATTTTGTGATTAAATTCCTTTTATCTTGTAACTCATTCAATTTAACAGAGGGCCGAAGAGGAAACAGCTAGGTTATATCAAGAGTTTGTGGAATCATTTGAAGTGGACAATGCCCCTGGTTCTAAGACGTTTGTTAGAGGGGGACTCATCAATCCTAATGATAGAGTGAAATCTGATTCTGAAGGTCCGTTGGAAAGAATGACTGCTTTTTCCTTTCAGTAATTTCATTGTTTATATTTGTTCCAGTTTTTTTACTCGATGTGGATACATGAATGCTTTCTTTTTACACGAATGCATTAATAAAAATATGGGCCTTTTCTATTCATTCACGGATGGCAGGTGGAATTTCCAAAGATGAGGGTTCTGGTATAAAGAAGGGAAGTAGGTAAACAAATGCTTTTGATCTGCTATATTGCAATGTGCTTTGATCACATAATTATTTGGTGATGATATCTTCAAATGAGACTTTAATACTGTAGCATGTGAAAACTAAACAATGTGAGAACACCTTTTCTTTTTAAGGGTTTGCAATTATAGGTTTGAATTGATTGTAGGTTTTGGAACCTATCTGACTTCTAGGTGATTGAGATTTTCGACTAAGGAAAGCCTATACACATGCTATGTTGTTACCTTGAGAATTCGTACCTGATGATGAGGGAATGGAAGGGAATTAGAAGGCACTTTTTTGCTTGGATTTGTCAAAATTACAAAAACAATTTAAATCATAAAAAAGTGTGATAAATTTTCAACTAGGTCATATTCTTCAAATAATAGGGACTTTCAATTTACTATTTGGTGATGATATCTTCAAATGCAGATTTTAATACTGTAGCATGTGAAAACTAAACAATGTGAGAACACCTTTTCTTTTTAAGGGTTTGCAATTATAGGTTTGAATTTATTCTAGGTTTTGGAACCCGTCTAACTTCTTTAAAGATTTTTGAGTAAGGAAAGCCTATAAACATGCTATGTTGTTACCTTGAGAATTCATATCTGATGATGAGGGAATGGAAGGAATTAGAAGGCACTTTTTTGCTTGGATTTGTCAAAGTTACAAAACAATTTAAAATCATAGAGAAGTGTGATAAATTGTCAACTAGGTCATATTCTTCAAATAATAGGGACTTTCAAATTACATTTTATGCTCACTGATTTCTAATTCTTCCTCAATATTTGGTGCTATCGTTAAATTTGTTTGACAGGAATTATGAGTTTCTTCACCCCAGTAGAAATCTAGGTTCCAAGGTTGAAAGTCTTGTGACAACCTTGTTGTTTTCTTTTCTCTAGAATGGCATTGTCTGTGCTTTGAAGTCACTTCTCAAGATTAATCACTTAGCTGGTAGAAACTGGGGCGGTTCTAATTTCAACCCAACTGTTGACTTATGCAAATGTGTTTCGATGTGTACTTTCTTAAAATTCCTTTTTATTTTTTATATAGTGATTCTTATTTTTAGCAAGCTGATATTGGTTCTCCAAGTAACAAAAATGCATTCCTACAGAGAATTCAGTTTGGTTTGCGGCCTTTTAGTATCTATTTTCTTAAGAAGTGATAGAATATTCTTGAGGGATGAGGTGCTTTTTAGTATCACCAGTAGTTTGCAATAAATTGCATAAGCGAATGTTTCAAATAGTCTATAAGTCGTACATGGACTGGTGGACATTGTGCTGGGTGAAACATAACTGTCTGCAGTTCATTTGATCTTGCATGCTCTAATCCTTATGGTTGTCTGAGAACAAGTACTTTGTGGCATGGTGACTCTGCTTCACATTTATGCAGATATGTTCCGTCTTTCATTCCACCTCCTTTGGCTAGTAAGGGTAGAGAATATGAGAAAAAGGTTAGTGCCACAAATGAAGAGTTTTATGGTTGATCACTTTGCTTTCATAATTTAGCTCTTTCATGAACATTAATAAGCTTACTGAATGTTGCAGAAAGAAGAGAAGCCAAAGGAAAAGGAAAAAGGGAAGTCGAGAAACATTGATCATTTCATGGAGGAGCTGAAGCATGAACAAGAAATGAGGGAAAAGCGTAACCAAGAGCGTGAACACTGGCGAGATACCCGTCATAGTGATAATTCTGTTGTAAGTTGTTTTACATATGCTATGCATTGAACTGAAAAGTTGTGTCTAGAGAAGTGAGGTTTTCATCAGTACTTATTCAACATTTTTGTTGTTTGGAGGATTTTGGTTTTCTTGAACTTCTTTAATGTCTCTATGAATATTAGATGATCCAGTGGTCCTAGTATCTATGTTTGAACCTCTTTGAATGTTTTTTTTCCCACAGTGATTATCTATGAGCATAGACTATCGTCTCTTGTTTCTTCTTCTTTTTTTTTCCGTTTTTTCTTTATCTTTGTCATTTTATGCTTTTTGGTGAAACAAATCAATTACTCTTGTATGGTCTCTTAACTAAAATGTATGTCAGCGAAATAGTGTTCGATTTGAGTGTGGATCCTCAAGCTTACCTTTATATCTCATCTGATGGAAGATATGATTATGTTTTTGAGTTGGGATCTGATAACTTTTGCTTTTGCTCTGTCTTCCAATGAGGGATTTTTAAATCTTTTTATATTTCTGAAAGTTGTCTGATTCGTTATTGTGGCCAGATTTATGAGAAAAACCACTATGTAAATGTGTGCTTGTGAGGGTCATTACTCATCAGGCTGAACTGAGATAAAACTTTTGTGCACGGGAACTTATTCATCGAAATCGTTGATTTAATGAGTTTAAAGCTTCAAAGTAAACATAATAAATTGGTATGGGTGGGTGCGTTTAATTAGTTTAGTTCCATTGAAGAGTTCTAGTTTTTGTTGGATACGGTTAAGTTCAAATGATGAAAGTAGACGAATTTTGGAAATGTTAACAACTGCTAAAGAAGTAATCTAGCTGGATAGGTCGTGGCCCTTGAAAAGACACTACATGGGCGTCTCAATTTGCACCTGAAAACCATGGAGACGAATCAAAAGGAAGGTGAATTTTATGTGGTCAGTAAATGGGCTTTATGTGCTGATGCGGGAAGAACTGAAGAAAAGAAGTCCTTTATCAATATACAACTTGAGCTATGTCTTCAGTATTGCGTGTGGAGACTTAGTTTATATGCTGGCTGAATTAGATTCTGTCACCTTGGCTAGCGGTCCGATTTTGTGCTTGAAAGATCTTTCATCTCCTTGCGCACATGTATAGTTTGCTTCTTCAAGGACGACTGTAAGGATGGCTAATGACAGTACTATTTTTGCAGCTATCTAGTAGGTTTGATGAGCTGCCAGATGATTTTGATCCAAGTGGAAGGCCTGGATCATTTGATGATGGAGACCCTCAGACGACGAATCTTTATGTTGGAAATTTATCACCTCAGGTAAAAACTTTTGAGGAGGTGTGATTTTACTCCTCTATATTTTTTACCTTTTCGTGTTTTTCCCGCATCTTAAAAGAAGGAACAAACGGTGTTCTTTAGCTTTTTTAATGCTATCTCTGTTAATGATGTTAGGTTGATGAAAACTTTCTGTTGCGAACTTTTGGAAGATTTGGTCCTATTGCTAGTGTGAAGATAATGTGGCCTAGGACGGAAGAAGAGAGGAGACGCCAAAGAAACTGTGGTTTTGTAGCATTCATGAATAGGCCTGACGCTCAAGCTGCAAAGGATGAAATGCAAGGTAGTCAATTAATTTACTTCTTTATAAATAATAATTGTTCGGGTCTAAGAGTGCAGGTTGAAAATGGCTAGCATATTGTTTCTTGGTAAACCTGTCGGATTTATCTATCATAACATTATATACTCCTAGCTTTCCAATATGTCGCAACAGAAATAGTACCTCTCATTTTGAGTATGTTGTAATCATCCTCCTTTTAGGTATGCTGAATGTAGCAAAATTAAGAAATTCTACTCTAGGCATCTTCAAGATTGTTTCTTGACCATGTGGTTCTGACTAGTTAGCTGAGTTAATCCATGACTTTGTCAGTACCTGTCACATACATCTTATCCTATGAGGGTGCTTTAGACTAGTACTTTTTGCGGTGGTTATCGATGTAATGATAATCTTACCGTGTACCTCATAAATGTCTACTTAATTTTTGCCTTTCATACATTCACAAACCAGTTTTGCTTTCTTGAAAAGAGATGGACTGTTGCTGAAAAATATTCCTCTATGATGCAGGTGTAGTTGTTTACGAATACGAGTTAAAGATTGGTTGGGGTAAATCTGTGTCTCTTCCATCTCAAGCACTTCCTGCTCCACCTCCAGGACATATGGCCATCAGGAGTAAGGAGGTTTGGCATTCTATTTCACTTCTGTGCCATTTGACAAAAAAATTGCCTTTTCCTAGAATTGAAATATGTTAACTGGATGATATCATTGTGTTTGACAGGGTGCAACTGTTATCTTGTCTGGTCCATCAGGCCCTCCAGTTACTACTGTGCCAAGCCAAAATTCCGAATTGGTACTTTTCTTGCTTTGTTATGTTTGATAAGAAACAGACTATTGTTTTCAATAGGATTGAGTTCGTCAGTTTCTAATTCTAGAGAATAGTCTATTGAAATTGGATGCATCATTCGAACTCGAACAAGATTTTGAGCCTTGAAAAGATCTACAAACACTTTTCTTAATAGCTTGTGATACAAATTTGTTTTCATCTTATTGTTGCATTAGGGATATATGTAAGGATATGTAGTTTGTTCTGGTCTTGTTTGAATTTGCTGGTGTATGTCTTAATGAGACCAAACTTGTAAACAAATTTTCTTGTCTTGGTACTTTTCCGTTATTAAGGTTTTTCAGTTTTACTCTTTGGATAGGCTAGAATGGTGTTGCGGTATTTGAAAATTTTTGGTGTATCAATAAAATAACCTAGGTCATGATTTATAATACCTTATTTTTCTGCGTCTCTGGTCAATCTCATGCCTATAGGAGCTTTATTTTGAATATTTGTAGTACCCTTGTGTATACCTTACATGTCACAATCAGTTTTAGTCTAGCTGCTTGAATGTAGGTAAAGAAAAATGACAAATAACTCCAGTGTGGAGAGCTTTGTAAATTTCTCACTTATATGTTAAGACTAATCTTTATCCTCAAAATTAATATCTCAAAAAGATATGCCATTTTATTCTTAGATTTGGACCTCTTAGATGTTATGTGCATTTTTTATCTTGGCTGTATGACTGAAAAGACAGTAAAATAGGCGTAGTTGAACAATGGGATAAGAATAAGTGTGAATCTTCTTCGGTGGTGTGTTCCTCATCTTTAAAATAGTACACAGATATGATCTATATTCCTCATTTATGGAAATATTTATTGTGTTCACTTGCTACTGTAGGTTCTTACTCCCAATGTCCCTGATATTACTGTTACTCCCCCGGAGGATGATCATCTCCGTCACGTGATTGATACAATGGCACTTTATGTTCTTGATGGTGGTTGTGCTTTTGAGCAAGCTATAATGGAGCGCGGTCGTGGAAATCCGTTGTTTTCTTTCTTGTTTGAGCTTGGATCAAAGGAGCACACATATTACGTTTGGAGGCTGTATTCTTTTGCTCAGGTGGAGGACCATTCTTGTTCACTGCAATATTTTCTCTATGTCGTTCTTCCAAGCTGCTTGAGCTGTTTGTTTATATATGTTGATGGTTATCATTACGTTATACTGCTGTTGACCACCCTTATCCTCTTTCTATTTCACCTGCGTTTAATAAATTCAGTGATATCTGCTAGTAAGTGTTATACTAGCAAAATCTTCTTTCATCTGGTTTATGCTCTATAATGTTTATCGATACTACTCATGTGGCTTCATAATATTCTTATGGTAGCCGCTTGGATGATAACAAAGTGATGGTCTAATACATTGTTTTTTGCCTTCAGCGGATGTTTTATGTTCAATAATTCATGCAGTATGCCCTAGGAAAATTGTGTTGTGCTCTTAAAATTTTGCATTCAATCACATTATGAACTTAGTGTCAGATTCCATGGGTAAATGCTGCAAATTGAAGTTGAATCTTTATTTTATTTATGGTAGGACTTCTTATCTTAGTAGCACTTGATTAGTGTTAAATACTTAGCTGCATTTTGGTGATGACATTGATTTTGCAATTTACTTTATGAAATTCTTGCTTGTGTTTATCTAGGGGGATACTCTTCAGCGATGGCGAACGGAGCCCTTCATCATGATAACTGGTAGTGGGAGGTAATGCTTCCTGCTTTATCTGTCTTCTGGGTCCTATCTGAAATAGTTTTTGTGCAGCTCATACATCCTCCAGTTTAACAATTTTCCACATCACTGCAATTGTTGGATTTCATTTGCCTTTCTGCTTGCTACTTCAATTGGTTAAAAACACGGGTGAAATTTATCCACCTGAAACTTGAACTGCATTGGATCACTTTTTCATTTTCCATTGAAATATCTACTTCTTAACCACCATTCTTGTGTTTGCAGGTGGGTACCACCTCCTCTTCCAACTCCCAAGGGCCCAGAAAATGAAAAGGAAGCTGGAAATACATTTGCGGCCGGAAAAAGCAGGGTATTCTTGTTTACATTTTTTCAAACACCAGTTTATGATTAGAATGACTTGGTAGCTAAAGCCTTTGTTTGCTTAATGAACACTTTTTACTGGTTTTGTCAGCGCGTTGAACTGGAAAGGACACTGACTGATGCTCAAAGAGATGAATTTGAGGATATGCTACGTGCGTTGACATTAGAAAGAAGTCAAATAAAGGATGCAATGGGTTTTGCGCTGGACAACGCTGATGCCGCTGGGGAGGTAATACTTTTTGCTTCCCTCTTGAAACATTCTTCACTTTCTCGTGTAGCATTTGGTTAAGCTGAACATGAACCTTTTTCTTTGTTTCCTTTCTATCACGGTTTATACATTGCTGAAAACTAGATCTTTATATTCAGAATGAGTCAGCATATGCCATGTTTGTCAAATGGATGGTGTTCCTGTTTAAGATTTTAGAAGTCGTATTCAAAATGCGAAAATGTATGCGACAAAAAAAGAAAGATGCATTAGGAACATGAACATGTTAGTTTTCAAAAGAGAATTGGGATTTACCCCTTCCCAGTTGCTGCTTTAAAAAGTAGAGAATTGGGTGAAAAATGTTAAGTGAACATAAAACTTTTGACAATGATTTTTTTTCTTTGTTTCCTTCTATTACGGTTTATACATTGCTGAACAATAGATCTCTATATTCAGAATGACTCAGCATTTGCCATGTTTGTCAAATGGTTGGCGTTCCTGTTTAAAATTTTAGAAGTCGTATTCAAAATGCGAAAATGTATGCGACAAAAAAAGGAAGATGCATTAGGAACATGAACATGTTAGTTTTCAAAAGAGAATTGGGATTTACCCCTTCCCAGTTGCTGCATAAAAAAGTAGATAATTGGATGAAAAATGTTAAGAGAACATGAACCTTTTGACAATGATTTTTTTTCTTTGTTTCCTTCTATTATGGTTTATACATTGCTGAACACTAGATCTCTACAATCAGAATGACTCAGCATATCCCATGTTTGTCAAATGGATGGCGTTCCTGTTTAAAATTTTAGAAGTTGTATTCAAATGTGAAAATGTATGTGACCAAAAAGGAAGATGCATTAGGAACATGAACATGTTAGTTTTCAAAAGAGAATTGGGATTTACCCCTTCCTAGTTGCTGCTTTAAAAAGTAGAGAAATGGGATGAAAAATGTTTAGGGAATTGGGTTTGATTTTCAGTATTCAGGTCCAAAATAAATTGAAGTTTGTAAGATTGGAGTGAAGGAATAAAGTTCTCTCGTTTTTTGTTTGCCATAGCGTTTCTGATACTGATCCGAGTTTTCTGTTATATATCTTGAATGGTTGACAGGTAGTTGAAGTTTTAACCGAGTCTCTTACTCTTAAGGAAACACCCATACCTACAAAAGTTGCTAGACTCATGCTTGTCTCGGATGTCCTTCACAATAGTAGTGCTCCTGTGAAAAATGCATCTGCTTATCGCACCAAATTCGAAACTACTCTTCCAGATATAATGGAAAGCTTTAATGACTTATACTGTGGTATAACTGGGAGAATCACTGCTGAAGCCCTTAAGGTAAGCATGATTGATAAAGATTCTTATTCTTGGGACACCTTACTATAGATGACCTATGTAGTTCATTATGTAATGTCAATCTCTTTCTACAGGAGCGTGTTCTTAAAGTGCTTCAAGTCTGGGCAGACTGGTTTTTATTTTCAGATGCATATGTGAATGGACTGCGAGCAACTTTCCTTCGATCGGGAAACTCTGGTGTGGTTCCATTTCATTCAATTTGTGGTGATGCTCCTGAGTTGGAGCAGAATGCTAGCCCTGATGATAGGGGGAATAGTGAAAAGATCAATCAAGATGCTGCGCTTGCAATTGGGAAAGGAGCTGCAATGAAGGAGCTGTTGAACCTTCCACTTGGTGAGCTGGAGCGGCGATGTAGACATAACGGGTTGTCTCTTGTGGGTGGTAGAGAAATGATGGTTGCAAGGCTACTTTATCTGGAAGAGGCAGAAAAACAGAGAGTCTATGAAGTAAATGATGCTCAGAAGTATGCACAAAATCAGTCAAGTTCAACGCATTATGCTACCAGCAAGAAAGGTGCATTGGATGATATGGACCCGGTGGGATTATCTGGATGGAGTAATAACGGGGATGGCATGCCACCAAAGGGAAAAGGCATCACAAATTTACTCCAAACTAATTCAATTCAGCAGGATCAAAGGCCCTACTCTAAAGAAGCCGAAAGTACATCCATCCTGCCAGCCTCAAAGTGGGCTAGGGAGGACAATGATAGTGATGATGAGCATAACAGAAGTGCTGGGGATCTTGGCTTAACTTATTCCTCTTCTGGAAGTGAGAATGCTACAGATGGCTTTAGCAGGAACAAAGAGTTGGATTTTGCAACTGTAGCGAGTAATTCATCACATGTGGATACTGGGTTAACTGAAGAACATAGGTACTATGATACATTTTGATTCTAGGCTGTGGGTGCTTTTATGATTACTATTTGGACTTTTTAACAATTATGCGGTAGAAACCATTCCTGTGTGCATAATTATATGTGTTAAATGTGTAAAACAGAGAATTGCCCTTGCTGTTTGACTAAAACTTTGATCCTATGGAAAACTAATGCTTGGGGCATTTAATCTGGATTGTTATTTACATCTTGAAGGTACAGTTCTTTTCGGGTAGTATGTCTAAAGAACTCTTTAAAAATGTGCATGATATGTGGTTTTTAATGAGTTTAATATAATGGCAACCATGCATGTGTTACAGCATCTCCCTATTTCTTAGAAAGAATTTTTAAGGAAAAACTGACTGCTTTATTTTGGCCCATTACAAGGCATTATCTGTTATATATTTCTCCTGTTGGGGCCAGTAAAGAAGCATTATTATCTTATCCAACTGAGGTTTTTGCATTATGAAGATCTATTTGCTTCCAACTAATAGTTAGTTTGGGGTTATGGTTTCCTTTTGGATTATGTGTTACGCGCTGAGGTGTGCTTGTTATGATTAATCTGGTCTTTATTATTTGATGAGACCAACGCTTGGTAGGCCTTCCACTTTCTGGATGTGAAAATTAGATTGACATGGTGCTCCAAAATGCTAAATGCAGACAAAAATTGAGGCGTATTGAGGTTGCATTAATTGAGTATCGTGAATCATTGGAGGAGCATGGTATCAAAAGCCCAGAAGAAATTGAGAGGAAAGTTGCAATACATAGAAGACGGCTACAGTCAGAGTATGGGTTGTTAGATTCCAATGAAGATGCTTCAGGCAAAAGTAAGTGGATATGACTGCATATGTTGCTTTCAATTAAAAGAATTTCTGTCTGTTAAGCCAGGTTTTTGTGAATGAAATTACTGGTTTAATTTTAGAGGTTGCAAAGATTATGACCTAAGTAAGACATCCTGTCTGCACAAATGAGTTTCTTTCCAGGGTTTGTAGAGTCTACCTTGGCTTTCCTCTATCATAGAGTATTTTAGAATCCAGCGGCTTAAGTAATTTCCAAAAAAGATTAAAGAACTGCAAGTAGGGTTTTCTTTTAGAAATAAATTTTGTGAAATGAACATCTCAGAATCATGGAAAGCAATCTCATCCGAAAACTCATTTTGTTCATATTGTTTAAGCAAAATGTTACAGTGTCGTGTGGATCTTTAATAACCCTCAAGAAAGTATCCTGTTCTGGATGGGAGAAGAAAACATTAATTTGTTTGTCCATGAAGTGCGTTTGTTTTGTGGTGTTGTGATGTGCTCTCATGTGACTAGGAAAAATGGTTGATGCAAGAGTTTTTTTGTGTGATTGTGTATTTTTTATGTTTGCCTCTTCCTCTCTTAGAACTCGTACCCTGGTTCCTCATGCTATTATGTTTGGTTTCTTTATCTTTAGCATGTTTTGAAAATCTATATTAGGATGGGGCTGATACTTTTTTGCCAACGCAATTGATGTGCTTACAGAGAGATCTTCGGAGAGGAGAGATAGAAGAGATGATTCCCATGAACCTTCAAAGAAGCGTCGGCGTAGCAGGAGTCAAAGCGATAGCCCCCAGAGAAAATCTTCCAGCCGAGACAGGGATAGGGAAAGTGATCTGAATAGGGATAGAGAAAGACGCAGAGAGAGGGATTCAAGGAGTCATGATTTAGAAAGCGGAAGGGTAAGGGATCGTGAAAAAAGTGGAAGCAGGGAGAGAGACGATCATGACAGAGATAGAGGCAGAGAAAGGGATAGGGAAAGAAGAAGGACAAAATGAGCTAGTTGGCCATTTGAATGTGGTGTACGATCATGACAGAGATAGAGGCAGAGAAAGGGATAGGGAAAGAAGAAGGACAAAATGAGCTAGTTGGCCATTTGAATGTGGTCCATTTGCTGCCAAAGCCCATTTCCTGGTTTTATTTTGATTGGGAAAGTCTGAAATGCGGGTAATTGTCTAGACTTGAGAGCTGCTTTCGCAGTTTTGAAACTTAGGTGGGGAATGATCTGCCATATCCAAGGTACAACAAACCTTTTAGAGTGTCTGTACAATGACAATTAAGTTGGAGCACTTTCTATAGCGAGAAAAATCTTTTGAAGAACATTGTAGATCTAGTGGTGTCATTAACACTTGCTGAATGCGCTTTCCCATGGCCAGTAGTTTAAGTGAGACTTCTTTATTGAACAGTAACAGGTAGATTCATGTGCTCCTGCTGTTGTGAACATTTATTAGTAGTCTCGTGTATGTGAAAGTTTTGTTCTAAATGAGATGTTTAGAACAAAAAACGGTTGTGTTCGATGCAAATCCTTTCTTTATTCCTTGTTAATGCCTTGTTCTATAGGTCCAATGGATTTCAATCAAAATACTTAAGGGAATCTGAATCTAAGTTTATTAATTTGTAATCCTTATGTTGTTTTTGGTCCATCTATTATGATGCAGATTATCCTTTACTTGAAAAAAAAAAAAGGATGTGTGTGTCTTTTAGGAATTAGTATATACATCTCAACGTTTATACTTTACTTGCGAATTCATCTCAAAGTTTTAGAATTGATTAATTACGTTCCAAGGTTATTAAAATTGAGTAGATCCATCCTATGACTTGCAAGCCAAAAAAAGTGACTTGCTATAACAGGTAAAATTATTTAAATCTTATATTTAACGTTTTTGCTTCTATTTTTTTGAATTTTTTGAATTTTCTTTAGTTTATTGGATCACAAACAACATTTATAATTGGAGAATCTAAAAATATTAATTTATTTGTGATGAATCTAATTATTTTATAAACTAATTCATCTTAATCTTTTGATAAAATTTAAGAAACTGTCCAAAAATAATTTCTTTATTTTAAGTGAGAAATAGAATGATTAAGATTTCATTCACACAGACATGTGCACGCTCGCGCGCGCACACACACACACATATATTAATTAGACTAGTTGATAACCGTAGGATTAAAATGAGGGTGCATTATAAGTAAATACACCTAATTTACATTATTAACCAGAAAAAATTTAAGAAAATGGTCAATTTTATCCAAAATTTCAAGTGTCTGGCCAATTTTGACCCAAAAGATTTTTGAGAAGCCAAATATATAATCTAAGTTTCAATTTCTGGCCAATTGACCAAAATTTAGTTAGTTTTAAAATCAATAAAATAAAATTAAATTATTAAAAAATTTAAATTTAATTTTTAAAAAAACTTTTACTTTCTTTATTTTACCCAAGTTCATCACTGTAAAAATTTCATCCTATATTTTATCAATTACAATGAAAATATTTATTTTCTAACAAATTAATATTAAATAAAATAATACTAAATTAATTAAAAATTGAAATCACAACTAATAAAATAATATAATATTAATAAAAAAATATTTTTAAAAAATCAAAATTTATTTTTTTAAAAAACTTTTGACGTACTTTTTAAACTCTAGCCCATCACTGTAGAATTTTCATTCTATTTCATCCTATATTTTGTAGATTCTACAAATTTTTATAAGATTCTACTAATAGGTAAATATAACTCACAACAATTTCATAAATTAAAACATATCCAAAATAAGAAATTAGATTAGAATATAATCTTAAATTTTAATTTAATTATTCATTTTATCAGAACTTGTCGTAAAAGTAATATTTTTACTTTATTCTAAGCGCACCAAATTAAAAATTATATCAAAATTTGTGCAACGAAAGTACATTTATTTCTTTGAACAATTTCATTTGAGTTTCAAAAATTAAACTTTTTTACTTTTTATTAATTTAATATTTATTTTAATTCGTAATTATTTTTATGAATATAATTATTTTAATATTTTTATTAATATTTTATTCAATATTAATTTTTTTTGAAAAATAAATATTTTTTTATTACGAAAATACCCTATTGACTTAAATATAAAGATGGTCAAACTCTTGGAATAAAGATGGTCAAAGTCAAACTCTTGGAATAGTGCCAAAGAACAAAAAAAGTTACAAATAAAAATATAAAGGACTATTTTAGCCAAATATTAATTTATAAGATCAAAATGTGCATTTGGCTTAATATAAAAGACCATGATACCAAACAAGTAATTAGTTTGAGAAATTGTAGAATGTATCTCACCCCATGATTACATCTTATATCTTCAATATTGATTGGTTGAAAATAAAACGGTACGGTTCCGTAAAATTAGCCAACGGGACTCTAGATTTTCCATACATATATATATATATATCTTGTATTCAAAAAATAGTTAATTTTGAGTTTATCTAAAATTGTAAATTATTTCATTGGTGATGAATAAGTTATTTTGATTAACTAAGTTTGTTTTTTCCAAGTTATTTTTATCTAGAAATTTTGTTTGTTTTTAATGAACTAAAAAAAAGAGAAAAAATGAAAAAAGAAAATAAATATGAGACCCAATAGATTTTTACCTATTATATCAGGTCATTTCTGTTGTTTTGTAGGTCATGGGATGGATCTGCTCAATTTTGATAGTTTTGGGATGTAATTGATCAATTTAAAACGTCGGGATGAATTAACAAACTAGTGTAAACGTTGGGATGTATACACTCATTCACCCGTGTTTTTTATTTTAATTTTGTTTTCTTTTTTATTGGTAAAACATGAAATACTAGTGTCTTTGATTTTGGCATTTTGGTGCTAATAATGAACATAAGTAGGGAATATTGATGGATCCATTCTAGTCTATTTACAGTTTGCGAATTCTTCTCAAACTTTTAAAATTGGTTAATTTTGTTTCACAATTATCAAAATTGGATAAATTTAATTTATATCACCCACAACAACTAAAATGACATAGTTGACATAATTAAATTTAATTTATAACACCCACAACTAAAATGACATACTTGCATAATGACATAATATTTATTTCACAGTTATAACACATTTATTCTTTTACTCTTACATTTTCTTTTCCCTTCTCTCCATTTTCTTTTTAGTTTATTGAAAAACAAGCAAGATGACTAAATACATAAATCTCTCCCCTCTGGCTTCTCTCTAAAGCTATAAAATCTTTTTCTTCTGTCTCCCCCATCCTCAGCCATTAACTTTAGATATGTTGTTTTAAATTTTCTAGATCGCTTTCCCTTATGGGGGTTTAGCTCTCTCATTTTTGAGAATTTTGCTCACTCTTTAATAAGTGTCCGACTTATCAGATGGGAGATTTTGGTACCTCATTAATGGGGATTTTTCTTTTTTTTTTTTTGTTTAATTTTTTTAGGGAGGAGGTGTAGATCCAAAATCTATCTATATATATCCGTAGTACTTAATTAAAGCAGCAAACAAAAAGGACACGTGTCAACTTCACAATGAAAATTTTTCTGCCAAACGACTTTTTTAGTACAAAATGAAAACTGACACGTGGCACTCTAAAATTTCAGAAAAAATGAAGCCTTAAATAAACCCAAACTTTACTTCTAATTACGAAAAGAAAAAAAAAGTAGGAAGTTTAAATTTAAATAGATAAGAAAAAGATAATATGAAAAATCGGATAATAATTACTCCACAATGTCAGCAAATAACACAGGATTAGCTTAAATTTTAAATTTTAAAATATTAAAACCTCCCTAAAATCTAGGAGTTAAATACATATTCCATGTAATCCGTATCTCCTTGATTCATGAAATCCTCAAATTCAAACTGTAATCCCACAAATCGATCCAGCTAATTGACCAAATTATTTTCTTCTTGGTAGTTTATCATTTGCACGGATTCTTCTCTTCTCAGATCGACTGAGTTAGGAAATTATTAAATCGCAGTAGCCCAAAAAAACATCGACGGCTGAAGTAGAAATTCCAAGCTTCATCAACGGCCATTTCCAAACTTGATGAAAGCTTTATTGTCAAACGAATCCATAGGAGGTGAAACTAGAAGCTAGCTACGGGAACCGTAAACAAGGTTTGAATTCAGATACAAGGTTTGATAGCTTTCTTCATGCTTGAAAAAATTTGGCAATATTTTTTTATATTTGAGAGTAATTAGATTCAATGGCTTTGTTCCTATGCTGCCGCTCTTGGATGGAAGAATTTTTTCTCCTGAAAATTAATGACTTTTCTTTGATAATTTTCTATCTCTGTTTATGCTTTTTACTTGCAGTCATGAAGAGGGTTTATAATTTGGAGGTGTGATTATGTATGTTGAGAGCTTAGTTTCCCTAAAATCCATAACTTAGAACTTCTCGACATGGTAGAGATTGATTAGATAGAGCTGGGAGCCTTTCTTTAGGAATTACAAAAGCAATTCTAGTTTCTGTATTTCAAAACTGCAATTTTCAATTGTTACTTGACTTACTCTTCTTCTGCAACATAGATTTTGTTGCTCTCTTGATCACAACTGAGCGTCCAGGTAGTTTGAAACTTTGGTTTTTGCCTTGGTTTGGAATATGCTACCATTATGTTCTTGCTCTTTGGCCTGCTACTCATTCATTTCCTTACATATTCACTGGAAATTGAGAAAAATAAATAAATAAAGAAGAACAAAAGAGGAACAACATCGGCGAATTAATTTGTTGGGTTAAATTAATTTGTAATATCCATTCTTTTTTATTATTTGGATTTGTTTGTTAGGGGTGAAGAGAAGAAAGATGCATTTCATTAAAGACGAACAATGGTACTCCCGAGTTTGTTGAAGGCTTGATTGTTGAGACTCTTAAGGTTACAAAAGCGAAAAAAGGTACAAACCACCCAATTACCCATGTGGTTTTGGAAGCGTGTTGATTCAGTTAGGCGTATTTCTTGGGATTCAGAGATTTATAAAGTGGCTTAAAGCAAAGTATGAAAAGTAAATACTTTTTAGTTATTAGCTGTTTAAATGTATTTTCTTCTAATAGGCTTTGAACAGATTGGGTCCATTTCAAGTTTACAGGAATTCTATGTAAAATCAGTAGTTCATTTCAAGTTTACATGTGTTTTTTGGAAAATCAACATTCACGTATATTTCTAATGAAGGTTTGTGATTTTGGTCATTGAATTGATTTCAGGTGTTGGGATGCCAACTGTTTTGATACTCCCGTGTAGTGCTTATTACACTGAAGAAGTTTGGCTTGAGATACAGGATAAAACTGTTTCTATATTGCAAACCTATTTCTTGAATGGTGTTACTCCTCAAGATTTTGTGAGTGATAGTGAAGAAGAGAGTGAAATATCTCAGGAAAATCATTAGCCGACTAGGAGCACTGAAAGTGAACTACCAAGTTCCGTTTTGAACAAGCTAACTTATGATGCTAGATTAAATGCTGAAAACTCTCAGAAAAAAGGGTTCAATTCAAATGAAGGTATCTCCTAGCCATCCTCAGTATTTAATTTTTGATGAAGGCATTTGTTAATTTTTTTGGGGTGGTTTGTGCTAAGTTAAGCATGCGTTTACTGATAACTTTCTTAGTCTTTAGACGTTCTCTATTAAATTACATAAAATGTGCTTTGGCCTATGGTTTTAG